TAACTAATGGCTTGACCTGTGCCGTTTATGACTCTCTATATGACTACGGAGTCAGGCTCTGGTTAACACTTTCTACATTTCGGTGGCTTCCGTATTGTATATTTGGTTTTGCCGCTGTTTCTGTTAATCCCGCTTCCTGATTGTAGGAAGCAGATGCCATCTTGCACACTTTCGGTGCCTGCAGGGGCAGATCTAGGGGAGGGCCAGTGCCCCCATGACTACATGCACAGGTGACCCCCCCCCCCCCCTAAATAGATATGCTACTTACATATTTGTAAGAACTATAAAATGTAACTTCAAAGCATTGCATAAAAACTTATTGGTTTTCAAAATTGTCTTTAGCTTCTTAATATAGTGTAATTAATACATGGTGGACGTTAAGGTCAAATGAATCTGGCCCCCCGAACTGAGCAACTGGCCTCAGTCTGGCCCCCCAGTTGGAATGGTCTAGAACTGCCACGGCATTTTCGTTTGTATGGGCGAAGTTTACGTCAGATGCTGAATGTTCAACTCTGATCTTGCTTATATATCTAGCCACAGCAAATATGACAGTGGAAAGAATTTCCCCAAGTCTTTAAGAGAGATAACCATCTATACTCTCATTCTGTCACAGCTCAACCCTAGACTGAACTGTAACTATGATAAACATTCGGAAGTGCTGAACATTTTTAACTGGGCACCCCTCTGGACAGTGTCGGGGTGGCTGATCAGGAGAATTCTCAGTGGGCCGCCCTGGCTGTGAGCTGGTGACAACGGTCTGGAAATGCGATGATCTTGTAATTTTATGAATTATTTATTTTGCAGGCTGGTCTGGAGTGTGACATTCCTGGCACGACCCTCCCACTGCAGTGCTAGCTGGGGACACCTAATTTTCTAACAATTCCATTGTGACAATACTGGTTCCTTACTAGTGTTGAATCAGTGAGATACATCAATTACTTCTGAGTGGCCCTACAGAGTTGTCTGATTAACAGGAAGCATTGCATAAAAACTTATTGGTTTTCAAAATTGTCTTTAGCTTCTTAATATAGTGTAAGTAATACATGGAGGACATTAAGGTCAAATGCGCCTGCCCCCCCCCAACAGACCAACTGGCCTTAGTCCAGCCGCTCACCTGGAATGGTCTAGAACCACCGTTGCATTTTCGTTTGTATGAGCGAAGTTTACGTCATAATTCCTGGCAGAACACTAAAAAAAGATGATAAGTGATAGGGCAGCTGTGAAGCATTCNTCTTGGTGTCTTGTCCGGTCACACTGGTCATGCCCGTCCTTCTCACAGGTGATGATAGCAGCTACACCCTCTTCTGTTCCTCAAAACTAGCTTTTAAAATGTTGGTTCCATCTCTCTGCAATCTTCAGAAGCTGTTCTCTTGACATGTATGATTGATATTTTGTGAAAGGAGATATGCTTATTAAGCATAAATGTAGTAATATTTCCCTGCCAATCTAGTTTAACCTAAAAGTTTCTTACCACATAAACTGGATAAACGTGTTGTCATGGTTGCCTGAGGCCTCAGAATATGAATGTGAGCCTGCACCTGGGCTCATGGGCTCCTGTAACACCATGTTTGTCTCCAACACGTTCAGAGGTACCTGTGACACACCTGCAGGATTACCTTTCTGTGTCAGATAATAGCATGAGGGTTCTGGGATGGTGATACTGTGGCTGCCATGGCGACTCACTCCGTTTAAAGTGGGAATCACACACTGAAACAGAAAATAAATGAGACTGAAGCCAGCCTAGCAGGGAAAGAATACAATAACAAGATGCCTGTATCTAAAACTCGATGTCACTGGATGCTATTAATTCTGATTTCTTTTTCATATATGGTAATGCGAATATAGCTGGAGATGAAGACTTTGTTCTTTTTAGGAAAGAAGAAGGTGTCCCCTGAAAAGATGGTGGAGATGCAGGCCAAGATTGAGGAGGAGAGGAGGGCTCTGGAGGCCAAGCTGGACATGGAGGAAGAGGAGAGGAATAAGGCTCGAGCCGAGCTGGAGAAGAGGGAGAAGGATCTCCTTAAAGCCCAGTTGGTCTCCTTCATGTTTACTTGATGACCTTGCCCTTTCCTCCATCTGTCTGTTATCCTAAATCCCGCGGTTTTTCTCCGCCCCCATTCCCCCGTCAGGCATGAACACCTCTTGCTGCTGGAGAAACTGTCTGCCCTCGAGAAGAAGGTCATTGTCGGGGGAGTGGACCTGCTGGCCAAGGCTGAGGAGCAGGAGAGGCTACTGGAGGAGTCCAACAATGAGCTGGAGGAGAGGCGTCGGCGGGCGGAGCGGCTCCACCGGGAGCTGGAGGAGAAGGAGGTTGGGGCTGCCAGGGGAGAGGGCTGGGTCCCGAACTTTGGTACTTTTGTGGTATCGACTGAAATACTCCAGTCCTGTCGAGGACTGAAAAATTAATTTGATTCTTTATTTAATCTTTTGGCACCAAATTCCGATACCCAAAGTAAATCTGTGAGCTTAAAAGCATTCTGAGTAAAGATCTCAAGCCGCTGGTGATTGGCTGTCTAAACGTCACACATTATAGAGGCAGGAAAAAGTTTGTCCAGAGACAAAGCTGTGGGCTGGCACACACACACACGTGTGTGTGTGTGTGTGTGTGTGTGTGTGTGTGTGTGTGTGTGTGTGTGTGTGTGTGTGTGTGTGTGTGTGTGTGTGAGAGCGACATCATCGGAACTGGGTCCGGTTGCAGTTCCTCAGAGACACTTCTGTGAAGGTGCTTACAGTAATTAGTTGCTGGTTGTCGCTGACATGGAACTTATACGGAAGTGCAGAGACAGAGCAGATGGAATTATTTTTGTACCTGAATCCCCATATATTGCCGGTGCCAGTGACAACATGGGGACCTTGTTTCTTCTTTAAAAAAAAAAAAAAAACAGCAAGAGCGCCTTGACATTGAGGAGAAGTACACCAGCTTGCAGGAGGAAGCGCAAGGAAAAACCAAGAAGCTGAAGAGGGTCTGGACCATGCTTATGGCTGCCAAGTCAGAGGTGAGTAGAGCCAGGGAAAAGACCCAGTTCCCCAGGGTGGTGAGATGTTTGTGCTTCTGCTCTGGAGTAAATCCAACCTGAAGCTGGCGGAGCCAGGCCTTAAAGGGGCCTTGGCGGGTCACACATTCTTCATGTCCATCCCACAGATGGCAGATCTGCAGCAGGAGCACCAACGGGAGATCGAGGGGCTTCTGGAGAACATCCGTCAGCTCAGCCGTGAGCTTCGGCTCCAGATGCTGATCATCGACAACTTCATCCCGCAGGAATACCAGGTGAGGGATCCAGGCAGGTGGCCCGAGAGTCTCTTCCTTATTCCCCTGAAAGGACACGTGCCAACCAAAGAATTAGCCTGCTAAGCTGGAAAAACCCACCAAAGTAATCAGTGCTTGCTGAATGAAACCCTCTGGTTTTTGATGCTGTATCGTAATCCTGTGAAAGATCATCTTCCGAAGGTAGCATGTTGCTCGTGGTCGAAGCCCTTGTTATGGCACACCTGTCATTTTATGTGTTTTTAATTCATAGGCATGTAAAATGTTCACTTCGTAGGGTAGGTGTCATGCAGTGACGTGCTAACAGGGCATGGTAGGTGTCGTGCAGTGACGTGCTAACAGGGCATGGTAGGTGTCGTGCAGTGACGTGCTAACAGGGCATGGTAGGTGTCGTGCAGTGAAGTGCTAACAGGGCATGGTAGGTGTCGTGCAGTGACGTGCTAACAGGGCATGGTCTCGCCTCACAGGAGATGATTGAGAATTATGTGCACTGGAACGAAGACATTGGGGAGTGGCAGCTGGTGAGTAGATGGTGAGATGGGGAGCCCTCAAGGCGAGAGGAGACCTTTCTCACAGCTGCTACGCGCAGCAGGACCCTCTTGGGCTGTTTCTATCTCAGCTTTCTGGTGGCAGACTCACAGCAGATTTTGTTCCTTCTCAGAAATGTGTGGCCTACACCGGAAACAACATGAGGAAGCAGACCCCAGGCCAGGATAAGAAGGAATCCGATGTAAGTTCTCCGTGAAGCCTCCTTCCTGAGGTCGCCCCCTTCCTGAGGTCGCCCCCTTCCTGAGGTCGCCCCCTTCCTGAGGTCGCCCCCTTCCTGAGGTCACCCCCTTCCTGAGGTCACCCCCTTCCTGCGGTCGCCCGCCGCTTTCCCCTGGCCTCTGAGCATCGGTCTCACTGGGAACTGTTCTCCCCTCACAGCCCTTGGAAGTGGACCTGTCCCACGTGTACCTGGCCTACACAGAGGAGAGTATGAGGCAGTCCATCATGAAGCAGGAGCGACCGCGGGCTCCCAGGAGTGGGAAGTCCAGGCCGAAGACCAGCAGGCGGTAATGCCTGAGGGCCACACAGCACACGCCCCCAGCTACCTCTCTTCAGCTCTCTGCATGATCTCTTCTTTTCTCCTCCTTATAGGAAACGACCCACTAAACCAGAGACTGCGATTGAGTCCCTTCTGCAGTAACGGGAGAACACCTCAGCTCTGTGGGATGAGTACATGGGAAAGGCCTTCACTACTTCAGGGGACGATAGAGGCATCGGACTGTGAACCATGGGCATCTGTGCTTTAAAATGGACTGTGAAAAAGACCAAGCACCTTGTACAAAAACTGTGTGTTGCGTCATACTGAATGTGTAGGTCCTACAGTATATTAATGGTTATATGTAGAGATGAAGCAGTGCTTCCCCTTTCCTACGCAGTAACACTATTACCAGCCAGTCTATGCATGTTGTTTGCCCTCTGAATTCACTTTTATTTACTTTACCACTAAGCACTCCCTTTTACGTGTCAGCCTTTGAATCGTCTGTTCAAACGTGGTTGGAGATGACAGGACCTTCCAGATGATGGTCATTCTCTTCATGAGTCTAAGGGTAGTAAGGGCAGTAGGTGTTTCCTTGGGTATTGTGTACTGTTTCCCTGTTAATGTACGCTGGCTACGTAGCAGAATGTGTGGTTACATGTTGGTGATGTATATCCATGTCATTCTCAGCATTTCTATTATTTCGACACACAAACTTATTTTGTTTTTCTTTAAAATTGTCTGAGTTTAACATTTGAGTTGTATGCAGTTGAGTTGCAAAGTTAGGTATTTTGAATGAGTTTATTATTGAAATGATATATATATAATGTGTGTATAGACAAAGATAATTAGCATGTTCGCTGTGGTCAGGAGACCTCGCAGCTGCCGCTTGTCCCATATAGCCTGATCAATCAAGGGCATCTGGAAAGTGCTGCAGAAGTGACTCATTCTGTCCAGGCCAGTTCACGTCAGATCACTGCAACCTAGATTAAAATTTTGTTTAGGCTCTGTATTTTCACTGATTGTTAAAAGACAAGTGAGTTTTGGGAGGAAGAGGTCAGCGCTCTTAACGCGTTTGCAGTGCAGGAACAGAAACATCTTCAGAGCTCAGAGGTCAACTGCTGTCCTTTATTTATGATTCTTAATAATTATGAAAACAAACATTCCAACAATATCATATTTTAAATAACTTAAAATATAAATTATACATAAATAGTGGAGAAATTAGGGTTTTGAGTAGATCTGCTGAGCGCAGCGATGGGCCTTGATCAGAAAGTGTTTCAGCTGAAGCTCATTCCCGGTCTCGAAGATGGGACAATTTTTTATCTGAATGGGGACAGATTGTTCTGGTTAGGTGAAAGGTCATTCTGCCAGTGGGACCCCCACCATCCTCACTAGGGTGGGTGTCATGTTTGACAATTAAACTCAGTGTTGACAATAAGACTCAGTCCCTGAGTGGTTAATCTAGAATCACTTAGCTTACATTAAGTTAGTTACGAAAATCCCAAGTACTCAAAGTGTGCTCTATTTTAATATCAGATCCGCAGTCTCCTGTTGTGCCTGAGTAAAATCCAGTACTGACACTTCCCCTGCCCTGAACATTCCTTCCAAACTTACTTTGTGGTAGGTCTGCAGGGCCCGGTTGATGTTCCATTTCTGCATGAAGTCATGCTTGATTTTCTTCAGAGCTGCTTGCACTTGACAAAAGTACTGTTTCTGTATGGGGAATAGTGAAGTTCTTCCTTCATGAGTGTATGCACAAGCAACAAACAGGCGTTTGTAGTGCAATGAGAGTATCAAGGCGTGATGCGCAATACTCACCGAACACTTTTCAAAAATATCAGGTACCCATTCGTTTTGCAGGTCCTGAACAGCGAATGATGAGAGTTAACTATTGTTTAAAAACACACACACACAGGTTTGTAATTATATCTGTGGAGACACTCCATTAATTTCTATTGAGAAAATTCTAACCCCAACATGACGACCTTAAGAAATCAGCCCTAAGCTTATTCATAAGTAACCAAACAAAACGTGAGACTTTTGGCATTTTTAGTTTTTTGATTGCATACACAGATCTTTGTGGGGACCTGAAAAATGGTCCCCACAACGTCAAAAGAACAGGCTTTTATTTACTTCGTGGGGGACATTTGGATTTGGTCCCCACAATGTGATACAAACATACTCCACATACTCACAGACAGACAGACCGACCCTGCAGCGCTCTCACACTGAGTCAGCATGTCTTATCATCTTTTTGTTGGCTTACCTCAGGGATTGAGGTGTTCAGCTCCTTCATCACATCCTCCAGAATCAAATGTTGTTTATGTGGTGCTGAGTTCACAAGCAGTAATGTCACACTGAGAAGTACAACCTTGATCATGTCTGTAGACGCTGGGAGCTTCACCTGAGGGCTAATGGTGAGTTCTGTGTCTCTCCGGTGTGTGTGACAGACATTTATATGGTCTGTGAGTTCCGGATGTCAGCACAACGCACACATGTGGCTCAGTTGTGCCTAATCATTACTTCTTCGTTATACTTGAGATTCTTCTGATTACACTAAAATGTCATGAGCCTATGAAACTGATTTCTTGGTAATCAAAATGAAAAGCATGATTCCCAAAAGTGCAACACAATAAAAATTGACATGGTTGTGGACAAATAGGTTTCCTTTGAATTTATCTTTATCTTATTTTAACTATTTTAACTAATTAATTATTTTATCTAATTACTTTAAAACTAATTTTTGAATTATGTTATCAAGTTTGTTTTATCATAGATATTATGTAAAATTCCCTTTAGTTCTTGTTGTACCCATTTGTAGTTTAATTAGATGTAACTCCAGCTGCATATAATATATATAATTTTTTATCATTATTACCTTTAATTATTTATAACATATATCACATTTGACCTTTGGCTTCTGCTTGAATCCACAGGGAATTCATGAGTGTCTAAGAAGAACATCCATCCATCCGTCTGTCCGTCCATCCATCCGTCCATCCATTCACCCACCTGGAGCTGGAGCATTTCCCAGCAGTGCCAGGCACATGGTGGGCATAAGCTGGCATGTGAGATGCCTTTCCACAGGGCACATACACAGTCACACACTATGTGCAAATTAGAGACACCAAAACTGAACTTGTTTGTCCTACCATAGACTGACTGTAAAATCCATATAATGCCTCTTAGTCAGAGACTAGAGCTAATTAAATAAACCCTTTTATACTGTACAGTGATGCATCTATGTGCTGCTTCTCATGCACACTCATTTGTCTCCTGTGCTGCCTGTATTATAACTAATGGCTTGACCTGTGCCGTTTATGACTCTCTATATGACTACGGAGTCAGGCTCTGGTTAACACTTTCTACATTTCGGTGGCTTCCGTAT